GGGGGGGGGTTGGGGGAGGACGTTGGGTACCAGCGAAGGGATGGAGGAGGGGGCTGCGCACCGCGCTCCGGGGTTCGGGGTTACGTAAAGCCGCCCTCCCCCTCGCTTCCAGCCTGCCTCCCCCCCCCGGCGCCGCCGGTCCCGTACGGGGACGGACGGGCGCAGCTGCCGGGCACGGTGCCGGGACGCAGGGACGCGCACTGCGGAGGGGGTGCGGGGGGGGGCTCCCCGCGCCGTACCCACCCCCTCTGACCCCCTGGCCTGGAACCCCACCGCAGGGCTGTGCGGGCCTGGGGGGGTACGGGGGGTGCAGGAGGTCGGAGGTCAGGGAGGTGTTGGCACAGCTCAGGGTTTGTCCCGCCCCCCACCGCCGCAGATGCCCCGCGGGATGCGATTGTAAGCATCCCCCCCATTTCCGTGGAGCCCGACCGGCAGCACCGGGGGTGGTGCTGGGGAAGGGGGGGTAGGGGGGACTTTCAGCAGGCAGGGGCGTACCGAGGTGAGGGCTCCCCTCCATCCCCCTGTACCCCAATGCACTCCATTGCACCCACTGCATCTTTCCGCACCCAGCTGCACCTCACTGCTCTCCATTGAGCCTCCCTGCACACCAGCCATGCAATCGCACCCCACTGCACCTCTTTGCTCCCCACTGCCGGCTACTGCTCTCAGCATGCATCCCATTGCATCCCATCACATCCAGCTGCACCCCACTGCATCCCACTGCATCCCATTGCATCCAGCTACATCCCGTTGCATCCCAATGCATCCCATTACATCCCACCGCATCCCACCACACTGGGGAGGGGGCCCCAACCAGGACAACCTGCGGGTTGGGGTTCTGCCTCACGGGACGGGCGCTGAGCCGCTGCCACCCGGCCAGGTGCTGTCCCTGGGTGCCGACGTCCTCCCCGAGTACAAGCTGCAGGCGCCGCGCATCCACAAATGGACCATCCTGCACTACAGCCCCTTCAAGGCGGTGTGGGACTGGCTCATCCTGCTGCTGGTCATCTACACCGCCATCTTCACGCCCTACTCGGCCGCCTTCCTGCTCAACGACCAGGAGGAGGCCCAGCGGCACAACTGTGGCTACTCCTGCAGCCCCCTCAACGTGGTGGACCTCATCGTGGACATCATGTTCATCATCGACATCCTCATCAACTTCCGCACCACCTACGTCAACTCCAACGAGGAGGTGGTGAGCCACCCCGCCAAGATCGCCATCCACTACTTCAAGGGCTGGTTCCTTATCGACATGGTGGCTGCCATCCCCTTCGATCTGCTCATCTTTGGCTCCGGCTCTGAGGAGGTGTGGGGATGGGGATGCGTTCAGTGGGGATGGGAATGGGGTGGGGGCAGAGCTGGGTGGGGGATGGCGTAGGGTTGAGTTGGGGGCAGGGTTGGGTTGGACTGCTGTGGGGTTGGGTTGGGTTGGGTTGGTGATGAGGTTGAGCTGAGTAGGGAATGGGGTTGGATTGGGGGTGGCGTTGGGTTGAGCTGGGGACAGGGTTGGGTTGGACTGGTTTGGGGATGGTGTTGGATTGGGTTGGGTTGGTTGAATCGGTGATAAGATTGAGTTGAGTTGAGCTGGGGATGGGTTTGAGTTGGGGAGAGAGTTGGGTTGGATTGAGTTGAGTTAGGGGCAGGGTTGGGTCGCGTTGGATTGGTGATGGAGTTGAGTTGAGTTGGGGATGGAGATGTGTTGGATTGAGTTGAGCTGGGGATGGGGCTGGGTTTTGTTGGGGATTGGGTTGGACTGGGTTGGGTTGAGTTGGGGATGGGATTGAGTTGAGTTGAGTAGGGGATGCAGTTGAGTTGGGGATGGGATTGAGTTGAGTTGAGTTGGGATGGGTTTGATTTGGGGATAGAGTTGGGTTGGATTGAGATGAGCTGGAGATGGAGTTGGGTTGGGGATAGGACAGGGTTGGATTGGGCTGAGTTGGGAATGGGATTAGGTGGAGTGAGTTTGGAATGGGGTTGAATAGGGGACAGGGCTGGATTGAGTTGAGCTGGGGATGGGACTGGGCTGAGTTAAGTTGGGGACAAGGCTGGGTTGAGATGACTTTTGTTGATTTGAAGACAGGGTTGGGTTAGGCTGAGTTTGGGATGGGGTTGGGTTGGGGTTGTGTTGGGTTGGAGGCAAGATTGGATGGGGCTGAGTTTGGGGTGGGATTGTGTTGAGTTGAGCTGGGGATGGGGTTGAGTTGGGGAAAGGTTTGAGCTGGGGACAGAGTTGGGGATGGGTTTGAGTTGGGTTGAGTAGAATCGGGGACAGAGTTGAGTTGGGGATGGGTTGGGATGAGTTGAGTTGGGGAGGGTGTTGAGCTAGGTTAAGTTGGGGTTGGGTTGGATTTGGGAGGGGGCCAGGGTTCAGTTGGGTTGGACTGGGGGCACACAGACAGCCCAGATTCTCCGTGCATGGAGAGCAGCGGGGGTCTAGGGCTCTGGCCTCCCGTGGGGGTCCCGCAGCACTCGGTGCCCCCCCACAGACCACCACACTGATCGGGCTGCTGAAGACGGCGCGGCTGCTCCGCCTGGTGCGGGTGGCCCGCAAATTGGACCGGTACTCTGAGTACGGGGCGGCCGTGCTCTTCCTGCTGATGTGCACCTTCGCGCTGATCGCGCACTGGCTGGCCTGCATCTGGTACGCCATCGGCAACGTGGAGGGGCAGCGCATCGGCTGGCTGCACTCGCTGGGCGACCAAATCGGCAAGCCTCTGAACGACAGCAACCCCCTGTACGGCCCCACCATCAAGGACAAGTACGTCACGGCGCTCTACTTCACCTTCAGCAGCCTGACCAGCGTCGGCTTCGGCAACGTCTCGCCCAACACCAACTCGGAGAAGATCTTCTCCATCTGTGTCATGCTCATCGGCTGTGAGTGCAGGGGGGGATGCACAGGGGGCGGAACACGCGCGTTTCTTTCCTATGGGAGCGGTGAGGGGCTGGAACAGCTGCCCAGAGAGGCTGCGATGCCCCGTCCATCCCTGGAGGTGTTGGAGGCCAGGTTGGATGGGGCCCTGGGCAGCCTGGGCTGCTGTGAAATGTGGAGGTTGCTGTCCCTGCCTGCAATGAGGGGGTTGGAGCTGTCACGATCCTTAAGATTCCTTCCAACCCAAGGCATTCTATGATTCTATGTGTGTGTGTGCGACTGTGCTGCGGATCCTGCGTCTGTCTGTCTGTCTGAGCATAGCTGTGAGCGTGCACATGAGTGCTGCCCCCCACCCAACGCCATTCCCAACTCAACGTGTGGAGAACCCTGCGGTGTGGGGTCTGTGGGGCAGCCCCGTCCACCACGCCGTGCCCTCACTGCTCCTCACCCCGCACAGCCCTGATGTATGCCAGCATCTTTGGGAACGTGTCGGCCATCATCCAGCGGCTGTACTCGGGCACGGCGCGCTACCACACACAGATGCTGCGCGTCCGCGAGTTCATCCGCTTCCACCAGATCCCCAACCCGCTGCGCCAGCGCCTGGAGGAGTATTTCCAGCACGCCTGGTCCTACACCAACGGCATCGACATGAACGCGGTGAGCACCGCCGGCCCCGCTGCGCCCGCTGCCAGCCGAGCCGCGCCGTGACGCCGCGTCCCCGTCCCTGCAGGTGCTGAAGGGCTTCCCCGAGTGCCTGCAGGCCGACATCTGCCTGCACCTGAACCGCAGCCTGCTGCAGAACTGCAAGCCCTTCAAGGGAGCCACCAAGGGCTGCCTGCGTGCCCTGGCCATGAAGTTCAAGACGACGCACGCTCCACCCGGGGACACGCTGGTGCACGCCGGCGATGTGCTGACTGCGCTCTACTTCATCTCGCGTGGCTCCATTGAGATCCTGCGTGGGGATGTGGTGGTGGCCATCCTGGGTGAGCCCTGGGCCGGGCTGGTGATGTGGCCGCGTGTCCCCGCCGTGGGCTGACCCCGCGCCCCAATCCTTCCCCAAGGGAAGAACGACATTTTTGGGGAGCCGCTGAACCTGTACGCGCGGCCGGGGAAGTCCAATGCCGACGTGCGTGCGCTCACCTACTGCGACCTGCACAAGATCCACCGTGAGGACCTGCTGGAGGTGCTGGATATGTACCCTGAGTTCTCCGACCATTTCTGGTCCAGCCTGGAGATCACCTTCAACCTGCGCGACGTGAGGGAGGGCGCAGCTGGGGGGTGGAGGTGGGAGGGGGCACCATGGGGATGTGGCTGGGACGCGGCGCCGCGGCGCCGATGGGGACGTGGCACTGCCAGGTGGTGCTGCGTGCTCCCGCTGCTGTGCCATAGCTCACTCCCCACAGCCGTGGGGGTCCGTGGCAGAACCCCCTCACCGTTCCCTCCCGCAGACCAACATGATCCCCGGTTCCCCGGGCAGCGATGAACTGGACAGCGGCTTCAACCGCCTGCGCAAACGCAAGCTCTCCTTCCGTCGCCGCACAGAGAAAGGTGAGGGGTCGGGGGGTGGAGGGGGGTGGGGGCCCCGAGGGGTGCGTGACCCCTCTGTGTGTCCCCCCCTCAGATGCGGAGGCCGCCGGGGAGCCGCGTGGTGGGCAGAAGGCGCTGAGGCTGAGCAGGGGCTGCCAGGCACCGGGAGCCCCGCGGGGGCCAGCAGAGTGGGAGCCGTGCCACTGCAGCTCGCCCTCCAGCTCCCCATCCAGCGATGAGGATGAGCACCCAGCACCCACCCCGGGGGCCGCCGCTCTCTCCCCCTTCCGCAGCCCCCGGCCCGGAGGTGAAGCCCCCACAGCCACCGACACTGAGGAGCGCGAGGGCAGTGATACGTGCAACCCCCTCTCAGGTGGGGACAGGACGTGGGGGGCTTCTCACTTCTCTGCTTCCTGCTCTGTGTGGGCAAAGCATCTCCCAAAGCCCCATCTCCTGCTCTGCACCCTCATTTCTCCCACACGCTCCTGCAGCATCCTTGCCTCTCCCGCAGCACTGTTCCCCATGCTCTCCCATTCCTGCTCCTGCATCCCTCATCATGATTCTACTTCCCCACTGGTTCTGCGTCCCCACGCTCCTGCATCTCCCCTCCATACTTCTGCATCCTCATGTTCCTGCGTTCCTCCTCCTCACCCACATCCCCCTGCCATGGTCCTACACCCCCAATTCCTTCTACATCCCCAGTCCCCCATGCAGCTCCTGCGTCCCCCTACCTCCTCCTTTCTGCATCCCCACATCTCATAGTCCTGCATCCCCATTCCTTCTGCATCTCCACCCCCCCCTGCAGCTCCCGCATCCCCACAGCTCCTCCTTTCTGCATCCCCACATCCCGTGCTCCTGCATCCCCATTCCTCCCCCACCCCACCCCTCTCTCCCTTGACACCCCCCACACCACACCGATCCTTCCCCACCCGCCCCCCTCTCCCCCAGGAGCCTTCTCGGGGGTCTCCAACATCTTCAGCTTCTGGGGGGAGAGCCGGGGGAGGCAATACCAGGAACTGCCCCGCTGCACCATCCCTGCACACGCAGCCCTTGGGATCCCAATGCCCTCCATGACTCGCCGGCAGCGCTCTGAGGTGGAGATGCGCCTCGACCTCCTCCAGAAGCAGCTCAATAGGTACCTCAGGGGGTGGTGAAACCCCCGGCAGACCCAGGGAGCGATCGGGGGGTCTGCCGGGGGTCTCACCACCCCATAAGCAGTGCCCTTTAGCAGGGAGCCCCCTGCATGCCCCATCACTGTCTGCCTGCAGGTTGGAGACGCGGATGGCGGCGGACATCAGCTCCATCATGCAGCTGCTGCAGCGCCAGGCTGCTCTCGTGCCCCCTGCCTACAGCACGGTGTCATCCCCTCATCAGCCTCCTGGTCCCCCCCCGTGCCCGCTGCAGCCCATCCTCCCCATCACCCCCATCCAGCCGCTGTCTCAGGTGAGCACCCCCAAAATGTGGGGCAATCCCACAGATTTGGGAGCAGCCCCTTTCCCTGCGCCCCATTTTCCGGCTCTGTGGCGAGCCAGCACCATTGCAGAGACCCCAAGATTTGGAGTAGCCCCTCTCTTGTGTCCCATCTTTCAGCCCCACACTCTGCTGGAGTCACTCCTGTGCCCCTTAGGTGTAAGGCAGCCCTGCTCCTATGCCCCATGGTGAGCTGAGGCCAATGCTCTACCCCTCAGATTTGGGGCAGCCCTTCTCCTAGGCCCCGTTTCCCTTTCTTCTTTCCCCATGGTGAGCTGGGGTGACACCTGGCCCCCCGAATTTGGGGCAGTTTCTCTCTCCTGTCCCATTTTCCAGCCCCACAGCAAGTTGGGGACACAGCTGAGTAGTCCATATTGGACTGAACCCCATCTTCCAACTGTATGGAAAGCAGGGGGGCCACTGCTAAGCCCCCCAGGTTTGGGGCAGCCCCTGTCCCATGTCCTATTCCCTAACCCTAACCTTCCCCACAGCGAGCTTGAGTGACTCCTGAGCCCCACAGGTTTGGGGTGCCCCTTCTGCTATGCCCTATCCCGCAGCCTCATGGTGAGCACGGACCATTGCTGAACCCCCCAGGTTTGGGGCAGCCCCTCTCTCGTGCCCCATTTTCTCAGCCCCACTGCTCTCTCCCATGCCCCACAGAACCCGTACCCGGGGGTCCCACCGCACACCCCATCCCGGTGCCCCGCATCCCCTCACTCTGCTCTCTCCCTCAGGTTCCCAGCTTCCCAGTGCCCCCAGAGCTGCGCGGTGCTGGGGGTCCCCCGCCGCCCCCCGACGTGGTGCTGCTGCTGGAGCCGTCCCCACGCCGCCGCTCGCTGCCCGGCCCGCTGCCTCCCGCGCAGCCGCTGCACAGACACTGCTCCGATCCCGGCAGTTAGGGGGCAGCGCGGGACGGGGTCGGGACCCCCATCCACGGACGCGGGACCCCGTCCCCAGGACGCCAGGGTCACGGCTGCCGTCCCCACGGACATTGCGCCCACGTTAGCTGGCCTAACCCCGGGCCGGGCCGGTGGCAGCGGGTGTGGGCTGCTCTCGCCCTTCCTCCTCCTCCTCCTCCTCCTCCTCCTTCTTCTCCTCCCCATAGTGCTGCAGCGGGGGGACGGGGGAGCGGGGCAGTGTGCGTGTATGCATTTCCGTGTGCGCACGCCTGTCCTCGTGCACAGATGCGTCTGATGCACACGTGTCTTTATGTGCGCCCTGTGAGTCCGCGTCTGTCTGCGCGCTGCGGCCCTCTGCCCCGTCTGCTCTGTGCACACGTGGGGCCGCGTGTCCGTGTGCTTGCCGCTGCGGCGACGCTGCGAGTGTCCCGCTGTGCTCCTGGTGTGCAAGGTGCAAACGCGCGCCTTCTCCGGGCTTGGGGTGGGCGCGTGTCCTCGTCTGTCTGCCGTGGGGCCGCCGTGGGGCAGCGCGTGGCTCCGGCGTCTCCCCTCCCCGCGCTCCCTCCCCACGGCACAGGGGTTGGGGGAGGTCCCGCTGTGCCGCCGCACGCACAATGTGGCGGGGAGGGCTGGGGGGTGCGGGCAGGGTCCCCCTGCAGCCCCCCAACGCGCGTGCCGTGTTTGTGCCGTCGTCCCGTAGGTCTCTGTGTGCCCCCACCCCCAGCCTTTTTACACCGCCCTGCATGTCGCCTTCTGCGGTAGGAGCCCCCGTCCCGCACCCCAATAAAGCGGACCGAGGACTGCAGTGTGTGTGCGGTGCGCTCAGAGCTGGGGGGCACAGCTGGGGACCCCTGGGATGGGGGAGCAGAGCGCCATAGGGGGGATGCGTGGGCGCACGTGGCCCTGTAAGGACACAGAAGCCATAGGATGACTGCCGATGTCGGCACCATGAAATATTGCAGCATCGGGGGCCCCGTGCACGCAGACCCACAGATCAGAGGGCGACACAGGAGGCACTACCTGAGCCCCCTGTGGTGCTCACACGGGCCAGTAGGTGCCATTGTAGGAGAAGGGCTCTGGTGCCACACAGGGCCCGGCGCTGTCAGGGGTCCAACGCTGCACCTCCAGGCGCGCGAAGTCGGGGTCCTGCGGGCGCACGATGACGGCACCGCGCGACGCCATCGACGGGTCTTCGTCAAAGAAGTTGAAGGGGCGCAGGAAGAAGCCAACACTGTTCCCAGGGGTGGCCGTGTTGGGGATGTCCTCCGCGTGTGGGACGTGCAGGAATCCCACCGTCACCCAGGCCACCAGATCCTGCACAGAGAGGCAGCGGCCATCAGCGCAGCACGTGGCGCCGGGACCCCGGCGGCCCCCCCTGCGGCCCTCTCCCCTCATCACCTGGTCCTCGATGCTCTCATCGTCGCGGATGAAGCTCTCGAAGCTGACAGCGGGCTCCCAGGGGTTGTTCTGGTTGTAGAGGCTGCTGCTGGACGCCTCGCTCTCGCGGTGCCGCGTCACGGCCAGGTGGTACCTTCAGGGTGGGGGGTTGGGGACAGCGTCAGCCCTGGGGCAGCGCATGGGGCTCTGCGCCCCCTGGCCCCCCGGCCCCACCTGCCCCACGCGACGCCCTTCTCCTCCTTCCAGCCGCGGGGCAGCACGCGCCCAGCGTGTGAGTGGTGCTGGATGCGGTAGCTGCGCGCGTGGCCCCAGCGGTTGCGCTGGCGCGGGTTGGAAAAGAGCAGATAGCGGGGCAGCGGGGCACCCAGCGGCAGGGCGGCCTGGCGCTCCGTGCGGCGCGGCTGCCGGCGCAACCAGGGCTGCACCACGCGTGCGCCGGGGCTCCACGGGTTGGAGATGTTCTCGAAGCTGATGTCCATCGTCTCGAAGCTGTTGCCGGTGCCTGCGAGCGGAGAGGCCGTCAGCTGCCAACAGCAGCACCGGGGGTCCCCCAGCGCCGCGCAGCAGCCCCGTTCCCAGCGCCCGCAGCCACACCTGCGACATCCAGATCCACCTTGTAGTGCACCAGGTGCGTGTGAATGTTGCCCAGCACGTGGCTGTGCACACGGCTGCCGTAGCGGCGGCCCCGCGGCGTGTAGAAGGTGGCGTGGATGTAGCCGGTGGCGTGCACCTTGGCCTCCAGCACGCCGTTGGGGTACAGCAGCACATCCCAGATGTAGTCGTAGTTGTAGACGGTGGAGGTGGTGCGCAGCACCAGCGCGTGCCCTTCCAGCCCTGCGTAGAATTGGAACCCCCCACGGAAGTCGCTGTCGAAGTGCCGCCGCAGCGGGACGCCGGTGGGCAGCTCGAAGACGCAGAGCGCACGGCGGAAGCACCGCGGCCCCTCGCTGTCGTACAGGTGGTGCGCGTCCAGGAAGGTGGACACCTCGGGGCAATCAACGCCGGGCGCCAGCTCGTAGGTAACGGAGCCCATGCCCCAGCCGGCGTCCAGATACTTGGTCTGCATGGCGGCCGGCGTGTCACCGCCGTAGAAGGCGATGGCCTCCTGCACGCTCACCTCGTAGGCCACGCGCTCGCCATTGAAGCGCACGTCGAAGAGCTGCAGGCCGGCGGAGGAGCGCAGGCGGAAGGCCAGGCTCCAGCCGCCGTACTCCAGCCGGTTGCCACGCAGGCGGTAGCGCCGGCCCTGCGGCTCGCACACTTTGGCCCCGTGCACCTCGGTGGTGGTGCTGGTGGTGAAACGGCCGCGCGGGATGTACGTGGAGAAGAGGTGCGGGGCCGCGGGGTCGGGCAGCTGCGCCACCACCACTGTGCCGCGCTCGTAGCGCTCGGCCAGCTCCTGCGGGCTGGAGAAGTACTGCCCGTTGTACCAGACGCTCTGCACCGCCCAGCGGCGCGGGTCGGGGTCGCGGTGGTCCAGCAGCAGCTCCAGCCCCACGGGGTGCAGGAAATACCCCTCGACGAAGCGCTGCAGGATGAACCACGTGCGGCGCTCACCGGGCGCCAGCCCGCGGGGCGCGATGTCAGAGAAGGTGAGGCAGCGCTGGGTGCAGTTGTGGTACCAGAAGCCGGAGGTCTCTCTCAGCAGGCGGTACAGCGGCTCGGTGGCCGCCACCAGCGCGCGGTGCAGCAGCTCGTACTCCCGCATCGTCATGGGCCGCGCAGTGAAGGGCACGGTGCGGCCGCCCTTGAGGTGCAGCGGGCGGTAGGAGCGGGGCCGTGGAAGGGGCCCGACGGCAAACTCGGTGACGTTGGGCTCCGCCTGCGCCCCAAAGAAGATGACGGCTCGCGCCTGGCGCCGGGGCGCGGGGCCGCCGCCATCCAGGTGCCATAGAGCCGCCCGCTTGGTGGGGGGCAGCAGCTCCACCAGGAACAGCGTGTTCTGAGCCAGCGTGTCCCCGCTTTGTGCCAACAGCCCCAACTCCGGGCGGCCCCGCAGGAAATCCCGCACCGCATGCAGCTCCGCCGGCGTCAGGTCGGCAAAGATGGAGGCTTTGTCCGGCGGTGCGGCCGTGCGGGCGGTGTTGGCCACCACCAGGCACAGCGTGGCCAGCGCCCAGGTGAGGCGGAGCAGATGCATCATCCCGGGCACCTGAGGACACAGCCTGGGTGTGGGGTCAGATGGGAGCACGGTGCCAGTGCCAACCCCGCATCACACACCGCCTGGCCCCATGGTGCTCTACCTCCTCTGGGACCCCCACCCAGCACCGCCCCGCAGAGCTGGGGTTCCTCTCCCCCGGCCCAAAGCTGGCCCTACACTGTGCTCTGCGTGGCAAAGGTCCCACCCTGCAGGGCCGGTGTTGTGCCCACAGCTGTGCCACCCCCCAGCCTGCTGCACGAGGGTCCCCGTGCTCCTGCAGAATGCAGGGTGAGAGGGTCCCAGGGGTCCGGTGCTTGTGCTCACAGAGCAGTGCCCGAGCAGTGACGTGCCCAGCACACAGCAGTGGTTTGCACAGAGCAGTGATATCTGTGGGGATGGGGCAGCTGAAAGCAGCAGCAGCAGCAGCGGGGCTGGGAAGGGGGGGGGTCACAATGTGCACAACTGCCCAGGGGGGGTGCCCAAGAAAAGGGCATCAAGGCTGCAGCTCTGTGGGACAGGGGCTATCCTGTGGGGCTCCTCGTTGCCCCAAAACATGCAGACAGAAGGTTGCAATATTGACATGGGGCAGCCCCGCAAGCTGAGCCCCCCAACCCACCGCTCACCCCCCCGGCACCCAAAGGCAGCCCCTCTGAGCTCTCCTCACTCACCTCGTGTGGGTACCGCTCTGCCCCGTTCCCAGCCCCGTCCCGCCCTCGCCGCCCCCCCCCCCGGGCTCCTCCACCCCCCCGGGTCAAGGCCGGAGCGGGGTTGCAGGGTTCAGCAGCAGCGGTGCCAATGGGGAGGGGCACAACACCCACCCGCCCCTCCCCGCCAGGAGCTGCACTCTTTATGGCCTTTCCGTGATCAAACTCCAGGTTCAGGAGAGATAACAGCGGGGACAGGCACGGGACGGCCCCACTCGTGCCCATGGCTTTGTCCTGGTCATGCTGCATGGGGAGGGGGTGGGGGGGTGCTGGAGGTGCTGCCCTGACTCCCCCATCCCCTCCCCATGCCCCCAAAATCAAAGGGTGCACATTGGATGCACCCAGCCCCAGAAATCACGCCTCCATTTCATTCTCTCACAACACTGCAGAGAGCACAGGGGGCCGTGGTATGGACCCCCACCTTGGGGATGGAGACCCCCAAAGTACTAGGGCCCCCTCACACACAGACCCATGAGGCTGAGATCCCTGTCGCTTTGCAGCTCCATCCCCTTCTTGGAGTCCAGATCCCCTCTGTGGGACCAGGATCCCCACCCCAGTGGGACCAGGATGTCCCAAGGGGCTCAGGTCCCCCACCCATGGCTCAGCCCCCCCTTTAGTGGCACACAGTGGAGACGAGGTTGTGGGGCTGCAGCTCAGACAGGCTCAATCCTGGGGGTCAGGAAGGGAGACCCCCACCCAGCAGCCCTGTTCCAGGGGTCCCATGCACTGCACACATCTCCAATGAGCCCCTCATCCCTATGGGCACGGACCCCAATGAGATCCATGTCCCCAGCCTCCACTGGTCCTGATGTGCCCATGGGTACAAACCCCACCGAGCCCCACGGCCCCCTTCATCTCCATGTCTCTGAGGACACCAGGCACCATGGAGCCCTAGGTCCCCATGTCCCCAAACCCCACGTCTTGGGCTCCCCATAGACCCCACTGAACCCTGTGACACCGGATTCATTTTTCAGCTTTTGTCCCATTTGTACATCCCCATCACAGGGGCTGGGAGCTAGGAAAACCCCTGAAAACCATAACAGCCCTCCTGTGGCTACACCATCCCATGGCTACACCATCCCCATGGCTACACCATCCCCATGGCTGCACCCCTCACTTCTCATCTACCCCCATCCTCACGACAACATCCACTGCCATGGTAACACCGATACCCGTCTCCACCCATCCCCATGGCTGCTCCCATCACCTGGCTGCTCCTGGCCCCTTCCCCCCGGCACATCACCATGGGATGCCTCTATGACACCTTGTGGCTCTGTTCCCTTGAGCCTCACCTCCCACACCCTAAGGTCTGGATGATGCCCTCCCCCATCGTAGCTGAGCCCTGCAGAATGGTGCTGGTGGGCTCCGCGGGTGTCGGGGGCTGAACCTCCACGGTTGGTGGTGAGAGCAGCTGCCGGAGTCACAGCAGTGCAGCTGGTAGGGAGGCAGGAAATGGGACGTGGAGTTGGGACATAGAGACGGAATTTTGAGATGGGACACAGAAATAGGACCTGGAAATGGGATGTGGAGCTGAGACACGGCGCTGGGAGCTGGGCACCTGGA